AGAGTTGGTAAGACAACTCCCATCTGTTTATGCTCTCTGTATTTGTGTATATATATCTCCTCAATATATGTTCCATTCTATAGGCATCCGAAGAAGTGGGCTGTAGTCCACGAAAGCTTATGCTCTAATAAATTTGTTAGTCTCTAAGGTGCCACAAGTACTCCTGTTCTTCTTTTAGCTATATTTATAGCTCTGATACTTTCCATTATAAGTCTCATTTCTTGGGTTTATAATTCATCGGTAAAAAAAAATTCTGTGTCAAAAGAAATATATTTTTGATTGCAATATATATATATATATATATATGTTCTACTCAAATCTGGGCAAATTCTACAATGGAATTTTTCTTTTTTATTCTACCAGTTTTACCCTGACTTTACAGCCAAGAGCAAATATCTTTCTTAGGGTATGTCTTCACGGCAATTACCCCAAATGATCAGCACCTGGGTCTGAGCACCCAGATTAGTCTAACTTGGATGTGAGTGGCCACATACCTCAACACTAGTGCTGCACTTGCCTGTGTGAGGTGCTAGGACTTCTGAGGGCATATCCATGGTTCTTAGAACTGCAGTAAGCTGAGCCACTCGGATTCTTTCCCAGTGAACTTTGGAAGAACTTGTCTATTCCTATGTGCACATAGGGGAACATATGGAAAGGCACTGGAGTGTTTTAGCTGTGTCCTCACTGCAAAATGTGCTGGGTTAGCAGCTGGAAATAGGGTGCACTCAGGCTTTAACCTATATCCCGGACAGGCTGGCTAGCTATGTTGAAACTGATCTGAAAGCATCACCATATGTGGGGAGAGGGTTGTGTGTGAATTGGAGGTGAGTTAGGGACAATACATGAGTAAGAGCCAGAGTTAACTGCAATGAAGATAAGCCCTTATTCAAATAACTCTCTAAAATATTTCAAAACATCCCAGATGGTTATCTGATTTATTCAGCTCTTTGGGTATTCAAAGCTTTTCAGCCTTTTTCCCATGCAAATTCCTTTTGAAGGAATGAAGCATCATCAGCAGGTAAGTACCCTGAGTAGGTGCAGTAGTTGGATGTTTATTATATGAGAAACAGAAGTGAAACTGCTAACATTGTTACAGCATTTAAACAACACTAATGACAATTAGGCCATAACATTAACACCCACGTGATAAATGGGGGACTTTCCCACTTTCAGTGTGGCTACAGCCTCAAAAGCATTGCCTTTAGGTGCTTTCTGAAAGTTATCTTCAGGGCTAGATGGGCTCTATCCCCGTGGTAAGATTGTGATAAAAATGCCTTCATTTTGTCTAGACAACAGGCAATGCTATTGGAGCTGTACTGTCGAGAATTACAGGTCCCCAGTTTACCTAGTGTAGATTCAGCCTTATAGTTTTTCTTTCTCATTAGTGCTTTCAAGCCTTTTTTGGAACTGTCTTGCTATGCAGTGTCCCGCTGGAGTGACTGTGACTTAACCCTGGTGCTGCTGCTCCAGGTACGTCATTACTAGACTGTGAGCCTGCCTGGAGCTCTGCTGCCACAAATACCCCCACTAGAGAAAGTCAAAAGGCTGAGGAATATTCCATCATTGCTCTGATTTTATGGAACATGGCATTTCTTGGATCTCCTCTGGCCGGTACCAACCAGAAGGTAACGTCCCAGGGTGAAGGAGTGCATACTGCAATGCCTCTTCTAGTATGAAGTGTGCTGCTGAGCCAATTTATATTTCACACAAGGCTCTTCAGCCCATTCACCCCTCGTGCATTAACTCAACATTTAAGAGGTTTTACCTTGATTTTACAGAGCGCGAGATAAATAGAAAAAATATCTATTGCTAACAAAAAAGCCCGACTCAGTTGTAGTTAAACTCTCCTAGCTGGAAATTGGTCCTGCCTTGAGCAGGGGGTTGGACTACATGACCTCCTGAAGTCCCTTCCAACCCTGATATTCTATGATTGATTCTGTTCCTGCTGCAGGCTCATGTTGCTTTTGGGTAGTAAAAGGAAACAAGGCAGGTCTTCTACTTTGTAGCACAGGTTCTAGCCCAGGCACTTGATGTGCTAGTAGGAAGCTGTGACCACAAACCACCCTAACTCAGCCTCGGACTCAGGCAGGAGCTGTGAAGGCTTTTCAGTGCCTATCTGCCCCGGCCATTAGTGCTTTGTCCCACTCTAGCGGGAGCTGCGTTTTTCTAACAGCACATTGCAGTGGCTCCAGCCAGCAAACGCCTCCCACCCAGCACTGCGGTGTATTTCTGGGGTGGAACCGTGATGTTGTTTTGCGGGGGAAGGCGGGTATAGACCGTCTGTCTCGCACAGTCTCTGCGGGGGACGCGGGAGGGAACCCCTCCCGAGCAGTGACAATTTCAGCCTGATGTTCAGGGGCTAGATGCCTGTACCCCCAAGCCCGAGGGCTTGGATTGGGGGGGCTCGGCAGTCCCGCCAGTGAGGTCCGAGGCGGGCACGTGGGAGGCCCCGGCCCGGGGCTCTGTGGGACCGGCAGGAGGCTGGATACAGAGGCAGGGGGATAATCCAGCCCCGCCGGCGGGCCGCGTCCTTCCCACTTCGCCGCCCCAGCGCGAGAGCTGCGGCCGGGCTCGGCCGTGCCCCCTCCCACGCCCGCCTCCTTCCACGTCTGGCTGCGCCGCGGCCGCTCCCCGGGGCACGGGCTATAAGAGGCTCCGGCTGGGGCTGGCGGCAGATGCTGGAGGCAGAAGGCGGCAGGGGAGAGGCGAGAACCTGCGGCCATGAAGTCCCCGCAAACCAAGAGCGCGGCCGGCAAAGGTGAGCGCGGCTGGCCCGGGCGCTCGGCTGCAGCCCCCTAGCGAGCCACCGTCGGGGCTGGCGGCAGCCGCCGCTGGGCTGCGGGTTGCGGGGTCGGTGTCCTTCGCCTCCCGCCCCCAGGCCAGGCTGGCTGTCACCGGGGCCGAGCGGTGCTCGCAGCCGCCCCGGGGAGCGCTCGGTGCAAACCCCAGTTACTGGCGGGAGCAGAGGCGGCCAGGAGCCGACCCAGGCCCGGCTGCTCCCGGCTCCCTCTGTTTCCCCAGTCGGTCCCGCTTTTTTGCGGGACATGGGGGTGGTGTGTGTGTGTGTGGCT